GGAGCTGACAGTGTCTTCTGAAGGACGCCGGCACCGACTGGGGCTGACGGTGTCCTCTGAAGGGCGCTGGAAACGACTGGAGCTGTAGCTGACGGTGTCTGCTGGAGGGCGCCGGCACCGACATGAGCTGACGGTGTCCTCTGGAGGGCGCCGGAACCAACTGGAGCTGTAGCTGACGGTGTCTGCTGGAGGGCGCCGGCACCAACTGGAGCTGACGGTGTCCTCTGGAGGGCGCTGGAACCAACTGGAGCTGGAGCTGACGTTGTCTGCTGGAGGGCGCCGGCACCGACTAGAGCTGACGGTGCTCCCTGAGCCACAACTGGAGCTGACGGTAGTCTGGCTCGTGCTTGTCTAACTATCTCATCCTTCCATCTCTTACCGTAAGCAAATCTTTCAATAGCCTTCTCAACATCAACCAGAATCTTCTTGGTGACATCCTGCGTTATGGCAAAGTTGGGTCCCTTGGCCAGCAGCTTCATGCCTGATTCACATATTGGGCGAGACGACAAGTTGTTCACCCGAGGAGCTGTGTCTTGGGTTTCAACGGTTGTCATCAACACGAGTTTGTCATGAGCCTCTCGCTTGAGACGGTCATATTTGTTCATGAGACGAGGTCTGTTCTCCGCGATGGTCAGGTCAAACACTCGTACGCATGTGCGGCATACCCAAATAAACTTGTCCGCGTCAAAAAATCCTCGAATACGATCGAATAGCCTATCTCTTTCACGTTTTAGAAAAGCCCTTCGTCGGAAAGCTTCGGAAATGGCTTCGTTGAGTAGAGATTTCATAAACTTTTCACATGATTGCTGTACTGTGCTGTTCTTCTCAAACACTGTATTAACTGGTCTCATGCTATCGCTGATGAATCTTGGAGTAACACCCGACTGTCTGCATGCTACAAGGAATTCAATTTGTAGCTCCGTTTTCGCTAACTTTTCTGGGTTCTTTAAAGTTTGGACGAGCACTGGCCTGCGGTCAACAATGGGCTCGATAGTATTAATGTTGAAACCCAAGACACAGCTCCTCGGGTGAACAACTTGTCGTCTCGCCCAATATGTGAATCAGGCATGAAGCTGCTGGCCAAGGGACCCAACTTTGCCATAACGCAGGATGTCACCAAGAAGATTCTGGTTGATGTTGAGAAGGCTATTGAAAGATTTGCTTACGGTAAGAGATGGAAGGATGAGATAGTTAGACAAGCACGAGCCAGACTACCGTCAGCTCCAGTTGTGGCTCAGGGAGCACCGTCAGCTCTAGTCGGTGCCGGCGCCCTCCAGCAGACAACGTCAGCTCCAGCTCCAGTTGGTTCCAGCGCCCTCCAGAGGACACCGTCAGCTCCAGTTGGTGCCGGCGCCCTCCAGCAGACACCGTCAGTTACAGCTCCAGTTGGTTCCGGCGCCCTCCAGAGGACACCGTCAGCTCAGGTCGGTGCCGGCGCCCTCCAGCAGACACCGTCAGCTACAGCTCCAGTCGTTTCCAGCGCCCTTCAGAGGACACCGTCAGCCCCAGTCGGTGCCGGCGTCCTTCAGAAGACACCGTCAGCTCCGGCTCCAGTCGGTTCCAGCGCCCTCCAGAGGACACCGTCAGTTCGAGTCGGTACCGGCGCCCTCCAGCAGACACCGTCAGCTCCAGCTCCAGTTGGTTCCGGCGCCCTCCAGAGGACACCGTCAGCTCAGGTCGGTGCCGGCGCCCTCCAGCAGACACCGTCAACTACAGCTCCAGTCGGTTCCAGCGCCCTCCAGAGGACACCGTCAGCCCCAGTCGGTGCCGGCGTCCTTCAGAAGACACCGTCAGCTCCGGCTCCAGTCGGTTCCAGCGCCCTCCAGAGGACACTGCCAGTTCGAGTTGGGGTCCAGCAGACACCGTCAGCCCCAGTCGCGTCCCAGCGTACGCCGTCAGCTCCAGTCGGTGTCGGCGCCCTCCAGCAGGCACTGTCAGCTCCAGCCGGGGCCCAAGAGGCACCGGGACCTTCAGTCGACACCGATGCTATCCAGCGGACGCAATCGGTCTCTACAGATGCACAACAGGCACCAGGAGCTCCATCCGACACCCAGCGAGCACCGTCAGCTTCTGCAGGCGCCCAGGGGTCAGCGACAACCGGTACGCATCGGTCACAAAATGACGAACCAAACTTGACCTTCCGTTTTCCCGACTTGGACAAACGGATTCCTCCCCCGACAAATAATCAGGCAGAGAGAAACCTGAAACAGCTTAAAGATGATTTACTCCGTACCTATAAGCACCACAAAACAGATCATGTCAATGTCACCCAGGATGAGATGTCGGCTTTGAGAACGCTAAAAAAAGATGATGCCATTATCTTAAAACCTAGCGATAAATGTAAGGGTTTTGTGATACTTGACAAAACTGACTATGTTGAGAAAGCTAACAACATTTTAGGAGATCGATCCAACTACGAACAACTGAAAAGAAATCCAGTTCCCAGGGTAGAGGCCTTGACTAAACGTACCCTAAAGCAGGTTACCAGTAACAAGCTTGATGACAATGTCATTCATGACCTAACACCTAACCATAGCCGTATCCCCTTGTTTTACGGGCTTCCCAAAGATCATAAACCGGGGGTCCCTCTTCGTCCCGTGATTTCAGCTTGTGGAGGCCCAACAGAGAAAACATCTTGTCTCGTTGAACGTGTTTTGAGCCAATTGCTGAGATATGTGCCTACTCACCTACGGGACACCAAACATTTTTTGGACCATCTCGCTGACTACCAGCGACAACACACGATGCCAAGTGACATCATATTTTTCAGCATAGACGTAGTAAACCTGTATGGTTCCATTCCTTTAGATGAGGCAGTGGAGGCTGTTCGGGAAAAGTTGCAGGAGCATGTTACTGATATCAACATGTTCGGTTTGACACCCGATGACGTATGCACACTCCTGGACCAGTGTCTGAGGAATAACGTCTTTTGCTTTGACAAAGATTTCTACAAACAGAAAGTGGGAATCGCGATGGGTAACCCTTGCGCCCCTCCCGTTGCTATCCTCTTCCTAGACAGGCTGGAAAGACTGGCTTTACAAAACAGGGAGGCTACATAAGCCCGACCTGCTCTTGCGATACATTGATGATTACGCACTGAAAACTTTTTTACCATTTCCTGAAGGGTAAACCCGCCATAGCATGGTAGCTTGACACACAGACGTTTTTTACCACCTTCCAGATGGTAAATTTTACTCTTTCATGAAGAGTAAACTCGCCAGGGAGGGGTAACATGACACACAGACGTTTTTTACCATCTTCTGAATGGTAAACTCTTTTGATTTACTCTTGTCTAGAGTGTAACATTTTTTGGGTTACACTCTTTGAAAGGGTAAATCTTAAACGGAACCCTTTTCTAGGGAGTAACGCATCATCTACTCTGTGCTTTACCCTCCTACAGAGAGCATATTCTTCTGGCCTACCCTTTGTCACATGGTAATGTTTACTCTTTCCTTTAGTGTAAACCCCTCAGAGGATGGTAACAGACTCACAGACGCTTGCTTCAGAAGCTTCACGAAGCTTCTGTTAACCGGAGCTCACCAACTAAAAAACATGCTTCAAGAGCAACAATAACCCTGTTCACAAGAGCACTTATCGGCCTGTTAGCTCACCTTGGCCATTTCTAGTATCTACCACATAGCCATTTTCAGTCGGAACTAGGTAGTTACTTGAATCAACTTATTTCACCAAATAATAAGAAATTTGCTATATTTTTTCATACAAAATAGCGTTTAAAATTGATTACGCTGCCATTTTACATCAACTTTGTTACGATTTCACACTAAAATCAATATACCATATTATCAACCAGATTCCCTACTAGTTATACACTAACCGGCTCGACGGCGCCGAGTGGTAGAGCTGCAGGAATTCAGAAAGGCAGTATGGGCCACAAATTGACCACAAATCATGATGAAAAACGTTTTAATTGATGCTCTAGGCTTATCAAAGAATGAAGAACAAAAAACATTGCATGCAGTAGCGCACTGGGTCTGTTTTCCCCAGTGATCGCGATTCGCGAACAACTTAGTAGAGTCGACAGATTTCAAAGTTGCTATCCATCACCGCTACCGGCACGAACATCGTTTCAAGGATGTTGGTATCCGTGATATTAACTATCTCTATGGGCTACCTAAATATCGTGCCGTGCTCGTGACCCACGTTAGGCTCTGGAACAGCGCGCCCCGCGGTATGTTATGTTTGGTCATATCGACGGCCCTACCGGCTCGAAAAGACGTCGGCGGCCAGGTGACCGGACGCCGGGCCGGCAGGTCAGCGGAGAACTGAGAAGCGCCGTTCGCGCTGTACTTTCCACGATTATGCTGAAAATGACCGGTCATCGGGCTGCAGCAGCCGCTCTCTAGTAGCATACAGCGCCTCCGCCGTCATGCGAGAACACGATGCCCGACAGTCCGTCACAGAACGATGTGGACGAAGACAAGCGGCGAATAATCGTCGAGAGGGAGCCCGGGGACGAGGAGGATCCAGTTGCGGAGGTCGCCGGCATCGAACGGCTTCCTTGGAAGGACGGCCGAGGGCCGCAATGGCCACTACCAGGGGCGCGTTAGTGTCTTCCACCAGGGGCTAGCCGGGCCGGGATAGGCGCGGTGGAAGATGTACTGGGTGGGGGGGGGGGGGGGGTGATAGTGCGATTCGTAGACCGAATTGAGTTAGGCAAACTGCCCCGACAGCCACAATCCAGCCAACCGACCTCGGCAATAAAACAGCTACCATACCGCCGCGGCCTCTACGAGCTCTATAATTCAACGCAGTGTGTGTCGCATTCATTGGCAATTACAGTAGTCTGCAGATCGGGGTGAACATAATTAGTGGGTGAAAGTGAGCAAAAATAAATAGACTTTGTATTTGATCAGTATCACATATCACCGCACATTATCCGTGAAAACACTCCGTCCGCCACAACACAGAGGCGTACCCCTTTCACCGGCAAAGCACTGACAGCGGACGAACAAACGACCCATTGACGTAACGTGGCACTCCACTCAGACAGCTGGAAGCACGCAGCCCGTTGAGAACATCTTAGAAACTGCTTAGGCGGTACACCGTCATAAACGACTGCAACACGTACGGCTCGACACCGAAGAATAGGTAACTGTTCAATTAGGGCTATTTCTACAGTCGATCTCGGTGTCACGCAAACCTCTAAACTTAATTATTCACCAAGTTCATTCACCATTTTTTTGGAGACATATAAGCTATCGCAGCTAATGATCGCCTGCATCCAGCAGCTGTTGTTGTTGTATTCCCCTCGGCCCCGTCACCGGGGCGTAGTCGTTCGGCTCTGGAAGGACCGAAAGCCGGCGGCCAAGGCCGCCACCACGCCGTCCCGTCTCAAGTCGGTGGGGCGTCCGTAAATGTTGCCCATGGCGAGGAGGCGGGCCCCGCAGAGGCACGGGCAGCGCAGCAGGACGTGTTGCGGGGTGTCCGCCTCCTCCTCGCACACCAGGCACCGGGCGGCCGGACAGCCAGTGTCCGCGCAGCCGGGGCAGGCGGCGGTCGCGCAGCCGGGGCAGGCGGCGGTCGCCCGGCGGCCGATACGGTGGAGGTATTGGGCTGACATGCTCCAGTGGCCGGCCCATCCAGCAGCTCGGCACGGGCGCTGACGCCGAATTAGAGGAGGTCGATTGACCCAGACAGCTGCACATAAGGCTATGTAACACTCGACGAGCGCCTGCGCCTCTAGAGCAACCCAAAGTTCGTCTGTCGCCGTTGGAACAGCGATGGTCGCATTCCCTTTGACGGTCCGGGTGGCGGGTCGTCACCACTCGCCATCGTTCATTCCGTGCAGCGGTGACCCGTGCAGCTGATCCGTCGCCGACTGGCAGGCAGCCTGCGGTTGACTTCGTTACTCGGCAGGTACAGCGTCTTCTGGATCGTTGTACTGAAATAAGAAAGGCGACATATTTATCAGATACACCATTAAACCAGAATGTGACAAATGAATGGGCCATGGGGAGGGGGGGGGGTGGATGGGAAAATGTTAGAAACTTGATGCACATGCATAATTATGGTTGTATTCACTCACAACCTTAGGATCCACTTGAACAATAAATATCTCTCTTCAGTTTGTTGTTCAATTCCATAAGATCATATACATGGGAAATAGTTATCTCCAGCATGTAATAATCTGAAAGCATGGATCCAAATCCTCAGATTGCTTACAGATGCTACGAGATCAAGGGACATCACACAGATCCATGCACATTTCTAGTCTGATTGAGATACCTGATAAATTATCTTTTTCATTTAATTGATTGCTGCATTTTATCACAACACTTTTATCATGTCACATCACAAGTGTTGTGCATTAGTCATGCAGTTATAATTCAAGAACAAAAATCATAACTCCATAGAAGTTCACATGCATGAAATATTTCAAGCTCAAAATATTAAAGCCAGGCTCCCTTTTTCATCAGCACCCTTCAAGCCAGAAAAATGACACCCAACATACCTACAAGTTTTCAAACTGTAACGTAACGTCAGTGATGACTGGTCTGTAATGTGACAAGACCTGGGAGCATGTACTTATCAAAAGGAAAGTGAAGCAACAAAAGTAATGACTGAAAAAAAATCCTGCATCATCACTGTAATATTGTTTATGCTTTTTGATCATCTGGTTAAATACATCCCACAACATCATCTAAAAAATCCCACCACCCAACTCCAGTAGCACTAAGCAGTAGCGGCGGAACACCTTCAATTAAGAGGGGCACTACCGACTTTTGGTCCCATTCTTTCCATGCAACGCCCATAGGGCTAATGTTAAAATGCCAAAAACAAAGGGGGGCACGGTGCCCCGGTGCCCTCCCCGTTCCACCGCCTATGGCAATAAGCCAGCCTGGTAAGTCCAGTCGCTTATCATCTGACTTCTTAGTGAGGGCCAATTAATATTCAGGGCTGAAATTTTGCAAAAATAGAATCCATTATGAATATCTACACTGTATGCATCATGATTGACGTGCCCCTATTTATCAGCACCTCAACCTAACCAAATCTTTGACAAGAGCATTACTTCGTTTATCACTGATGGACTGACCAATGATCTGAAAGTGCAATATTTAACAACTTTTCACCTAATAGCATTTTTTGCAAGCTTAATACAGTTTTACCATGGATGAGATAACACTCATCTCATCTTATTATCCCATCCATGGTTTTACCTTTGTGCATTTAACCTATACCAGAGAACTGCGGCAAATTCATAAGCCCTCAATCAACAATTAACATGATATACGAAAAAGAAACATGAAGAAATGTGGCTCTCATAATTTTTGCCATCTCAATTTACCCTATAGAGCTTACCTTTATTGAAGTAGAAGAATAATCAACCGTTTCTCACTAAGGCGGCGTTCGATGTCTCCTGGACGGCAAAGATTCTTTGTCGTCCGGCCAATCCCGTCCAAGGTCAGCGGGGGCTCGGCTGCGGTTATGAAACGTGATTGGCCGGACGGCGTAGAATCTTCGCCGTCCGAGAGACATCGAACGCGGGGTAAATTCGTAATCGTCGACGCCGTAGTCCGGAATCACTGCGCTGCGCTGCGAGTGGGGGATGGTGTGCAGTGCGCATGCGCAGTAGCCGCTACCCGGGCCCCATAGCTCATAGCTCACCGACGCCGGCGCCGCTCGGGCGCCTCGGCCAGCCGAAGCCATCCCCTGTTCACAAGAGCACTTATCGGCCTGTTAGCTCACCTTGGCCATTTCTAGTATCTACCACATAGCCGTTTTCAGTCGGAACTAGGTAGTTACTTGAATCAACTTATTTCACCAAATAATAAGAAATTTGCTATATTTTTCCATACAAAATAGCGTTTAAAATTGATTACGCTGCCATTTTACATCAACTTTGTTACGATTTCACACTAAAATCAATATACCATATTATCCACCAGATTCTCTACTAGTTATATACTAACCGGCTCGACGGCGCAGAGTGGTAGAGCTGCAGGAATTCAGAAAGGCAGTGTGGGCCACAAATTGACCACAAATCATGATGAAAAACGTTTTAATTGATGCTCTAGGCTTATCAAACAATGAACAACAAAAAACACTGCATGCAGTAGCGCACTGGCTCTGTTTCCCCAGTGATCGCAAACAACTTAGTAGAGTCGACAGATTTCAAAGTTGCTATCCATCACCGCTACCAATCTTAACCACCAGGCACGAACATCGTTTCAAGGATGTTGGTATCCGTGATATTAACTATCTCTATGGGCTAAATATCGTGCCGTGCTCGTGACCCATGTTAGGCTCTGGAACAGCGCGCCCCGCGGTATGTTATGTTTGGTCATATCGACGGCCCTACCGGCTCGAAAAGACGTCGGCGGCCAGGTGACCGGACGCCGGGCCGGCAGGTCAGCGGAGAACTGAGAAGCGCCGTTCGCGCTGTACTTTCCACGATTATGCTGAAAATGACCGGTCATCGGGCTGCAGCGGCCGCTCTCTAGTAGCATACAGCGCCTCCGCCGTCATGCGAGAACACGATGCCCAACAGTCCGTCGCAGAACGATGTGGACGAAGACAAGCGGCGAATAATCGTCGAGAGGGAGCCCGGGGACGAGGAGGATCCTATGGCGGAGGTCGCCGGCATCGAACGGCTTCCTTGGAAGGACGGCCGAGGGCCGCAATTGCCACTACCAGGGGCGCGCTAGTGTCTTCCACCAGGGGCTAGCCGGGCCGGGATAGGCGCGGTGGAAGATGTACTGGGTGGGGGGGGGGGGGGTGGGAGGGGGGGGTGATAGTGCGATTCGTAGACCGAATTGAATTAGGCAAACTGCCCCGACAGCCACAATCCAGCCAACCGACCTCGGCAACAAAACAACAGCTACCATACCGCCGCGGCCTCTACGAGCTCTATAATTCAACGCAGTGTGTGTCGCATTCATTGGCAATTACAGTAGTCTGCAGATCGGGGTGAACATAATTAGTGGGTGAAAGTGAGCAAAAATAACTTTGTATTTGACCAGTATCACATATCACCGCACATTATCCGTGAAAACACTCCGTCCGCCACAACACAGAGGTGTACCCCTTTCACCGGCAAAGCACTGACAGCGGACACTTAAACGACCCATTGACGTAACGTGGCACTCCACTCAGACAGCTGGAAGCACGCAGCCCGTTGAGAACATCTTAGAAACTGCTTACCAGGGTTGGCATTTTTGCCGGCAAAAACTAGTTTATGCCATTTGCCGGTTTAAACCGGTTTTAACCGGCAAAAAGTGGCAAAAACTGGCAAAAACTCAAAACCATTACAATGCTTTGCCTAGACATGCATTTGAATTGGAAACATTCTAAGGGGGATTCAGTGAAAGTTATATGCTTTCAAAAAGAAGTGACATATTGACCATTCGACAAGTGTTTCATACAATAAAAACATTTTTATGGGCTTCCCGCTTTCCATTAGTAACCAGTACGTCTTTTTGGGGCGACAAATGAGCCAGTGCAAGAGTGATTCCTGCACACGCAGAAGTGTGAAGGGGTGCCTGCCACTGATTTGTGCACGGCACCCATACTCGCTGGTTACTAACGGTATTAGTACCAAATTTGAGCTCAATCGACGCAGCCGTTCTCGAGAACTGGAAGTGTCATCCCACACGTGCGCTCGTAGAAAGTTGACCCCGACTGACTTATCTGCGACACCCATACTAATCTGTCTGTAACGGTGTTCCAAATTTGAGTGCAATCGGCAGAGCCATTCTCGAGATCTGGTCGAAAGCGACCCCTACACGTGTGCACCTGCAGTAGGTAGCACCCTAACCGTGATGCATGGAAATGCCAAGATTCTTCGGAAATGCATTGTCTGACGGATGTCTACCGACATGCATAGACATTGCAGCCCGGGTAACTAATGAGGCATACTGCGCGTCTCTTAAACACCCAGAAATGCATTTGTACATTTCAAATCAATTGCTAACCAGAAAAATTGCAAGTCTTGACTACCTGAGTTTTTGCCAGTTATTGCCAGTTTTTGCCACCAGGGTTTCTGCCAGCCGGTTTAAACCGGTTAAAACCACTGGCAAAAACCAGTTTTTGCCACCCCTTGCCAACCCTGCTGCTTACGCGGTACACCGTCATAAACGACTGCAACACGTACGGCTCGACACCGAAGAAAAGTAACTGTTCAATTAGGGCTATTTCTACAGTCGATCTCGGTGTCACGCAAACCTCTTAACTTAATTATTCACCAAGTTCATTCACCATTTTTTTGGAGACATATAAGCTATCGCAGCTAATGATCGCCTGCATCCAGCAGCTGTTGTTGTAGTATTCCCCTCGGCCCCGTCACCGGGGCGTAGTCGTTCGGCTCTGGAAGGACCGAAAGCCGGCGGCCAAGGCCGCCACCACGTCGTCCCGTACAAGTCGGTGGGACGTCCGTAAATGTTGCCCATGGCGAGGAGGCGGGCCCCGCAGAGGCACGGGCAGCGCAGCAGGACGTGTTGCGGGGTGTCCGCCTCCTCCTCGCACACCAGGCACCGGGCGGCCGGACAGCCGGCGTCCACGCAGCCGGGGCAGGCGGCGGTCGGCCGGCGGCCGATACGGTGGAGGTATTGGGCTGACATGCTCCAGTGGCCGGCCCATCCAGCAGCTCGGCACGGGCGCTGACGCCGAATTAGAGGAGGTCGATTGACCCAGACAGCTGCACATAAGGCCATGTAACACTCGACGAGCGCCTGCGCCTCTAGAGCAGCCCAAAGTTCGTCTGTCGCCGTTGGAACAACGATGGTCGCTTTCCCTTTGACGGTCCGGGTGGCGGGTCGTCACCACTCGCCATCGTTCATTTCGTGCAGCGGTGTCCCGTGCAGCTGATCCGTCGCCGACTGGCAGGCAGCCTGCGGTTGACTCCGTTACTCGGCAGGTACAACGTCTTCTGGATCGTTGTACTGAAATAAGAAAGGCGACATATTTATCAGATACACCATTAAGCCAGAATGTGACAAATGAATGGGCCATGGGGAGGGGGGGGGGAAATGTTAGAAACTTGATGCACATGCATAATTATGGTTGTATTCACTCACAACCTTAGGATCCACTTGAACAATAAATACCTCTCTTTGGTTTGTTGTTCAATTCCATAAGATCATATACATGGGAAATAGTTATCTCCAGCATGTGATAATCTGAAAGCATGGATCCAAATCCTCAGATTGCTTACAGATGCTACGAGATCAATGGACATCACACAGATCCATGCACATTTCTAGTCTGATTGAGATACCTGATAAATTATCTTTTTTCATTTAATTGAGTGCTGCATTTTATCACAACACTTTTATCATGTCACATCACAAGTGTTGTGCATGAGTCATGCAGTTATAATTCAAGAACAAAAATCATTACTCCATAGAAGTTCACATGCATGAAATATTTCAAGCTCAAAATATTGAAGCCAGGCTCCCTTTTTCATCAGCACCCTTCAAGCTAGAAAAATGACACCCAACATACCTACAAGTTTTCAACCGTAACATCAGTGATGACGGGTCTGTAATGTGACAAGATCTGGGAGCACGTACTTATCAAAAGGAAAGTGAATCAACAAAAGTAATGACTGAAAAAATCCTGCATCATCACTGTAATATTGTTTATGATTTTTGATCATCTGGTTAAATACATCTGACAACATCATCTAAAAAATCCCACCACCCAACTCCAGTAGCACTAAGCAGTAGCGGCGGAACACCTTCAATTAAAGGAAATAGTTCACTTTCACGAAATTATTTTTTTTGCAATGGATTTATGATTTTTTATGTTCAAAATGATCAGCAAAGAAAATAAAACCTATTTATAACAAAAGATTATTTTCTATATTTTGATAATAAGAAGAACTTTTCAGTTTCTGTAAGGCACAGGCGATCCAGTATGAAAAGAGCATGGGTCCCGAAAATTCTTCAGAAACTAGAGAAATGATCGCGGCCACCGGCATTTGGGCGATCTGCTGCTGCTGAATGTCCTTATTGATCAGTACGAGAATTTCTCTACAGTTCTCGTAGATAATTTCTCTAGTTTCTGAAGAATTTTCGGTACCCATGCTCTTTTCATACTGGATGCGAATATATGCAAGGCACACATCCTCAACGCAAGACACCTTTTTCGGGACGAGAAATAGAATATCTTTGCCTAGGGTGATCGTTGGGCTGTAAAAGCTCCTGATTTATGCTCGTCTCAGCCCAGGCTACGGAACTGCTATTCCAGTTCAAAACCCATGTTAAAAAGTGAACTATTTCCTTTAAGGGGGGCACTACGGACTTTTGGTCCCATTCTTTTCACGCAATGCCCATAGGGCTAATGTTAAAATGCCAAAAACAAAGGGGGGCACGGTGCCCCGGTGCCCTCCCCATTCCGCCGCCTATGGCAATAAGCCAGCCTGGTAAGTCCAGTCGCTTATCATCTGACTTCTTAGTGAGGGCCAATTAATATTCAGGGCTGAAATTTTGCAAAAATAGAATCTATTATGAATATCTACACTGTATGCATCATGATTGACGTGATCCTATTTATCAGCACCTCAACCTAACCAAATCTTTGACAAGAGCATTACTTCGTTTAGCACTGATGGACTGACCAATGATCTGAAAGTGCAATATTTAACAACTTTTCACCTAATGACATTTTTTGCAAGCTTAATACAGTTTTACCATGGATGAGATAACACTCATCTCATCTTATTATCCCATCCATGGTTTTACCTTTGTGCATTTAACCTATACCAGAGAACTGCGGCAAATTCATAAGCCCTCAATGAACAATTAACATGATATACGAAAAAGAAACATGGGAGAAATGTGGCTCTCATAATTTTTGCCATCTCAATTTACCTTATAGAGCTTACCTTTATTGAAGTAGAAGAATAATCAACCGTTTCTCACTAAATTCGTAATCGTCGACGCCGTAGTCCGGAACCGCTGCGCTGCGTTGCGAGTGGGGGATGGTGTGCAGTGCGCATGCGCAGTAGCCGCTACCCGGGCCCCATAGCTCATAGCTCACCGACGCCGGCGCCGCTCGGGCGCCTCGGCCAGCCGAAGCCATCTCCAAGGGAGATGGCCAGAGGCTGCCATATGTGGGCTGCCATAGGCCACCGAGATGGCCAACAGAGGCGAGCCCAGGCTTATACCCATTAACACAGTGCTGAACTGACACCAACTGTAAAGTGCCTGAGACCGCCATTGCCCAGGCCATCTAGATGGCTTAGCTGGCGGCCGACAACCGCTCGTGTGAACAGCTATGTAGAGATGGCCAGAGGCTGCCATATGTGGGCTGCCATAGGCCACCGAGATGGCCAACAGAGGCGAGCCCAGGTATATACCCATTAACCCGCGCCCGGCTGGGGGTCCTGGATTTCCACGCCCTGCTGGGGGGGGGGGGTGTTTGAACACCCCCCCCTTCTAACTCGGCTCCTGGGCCACGTAGCGATACGCGGAAGGCGGCGTTCGAAAGAGCGTCAAAAATAATGAGGAAATCACTTCGGTCAATTTTTTGGTCAGGTCAAAGGTCAGGTCACCAGAGGTCATTGAAGGCAAATTTTCGCCGATTTCCAGGTCGAATGTCGAAAATTTCCAAGAAGCCAACGCATAACTCGGGAACCAATAGAGCTACAGCGCCGCGGAAAAGCGCATTCGATAGCCCTATTAACGCCCTTTCTGAGTAATTTTCTCAGATTTGACCTAACGTCAACGGTTTTGCCTGCAGGGGGCAAAAACTGCAAAAATAGCCGATTTTTTCGGAAACAGTTTTTCTGCAATAACTTTTGACCCAAGCATTGTACGAGCTTACTTTTACCGGCATCGTGTTCCTCTCGTCAAGACGCATCGAACGAACTATAATTTGACCTTGAAAGGTCAACTTGAAAATTTGACCTCAGGTCAAGGTCATGACCTGACCGGAAAGGGTCATGTTGCATATCAGTCGATCCGTATCGTCGAGCTGAACACATCTAAGGCGTTTACATCGCTCTAGCATGCCTCTATCAAAAGTTATTTGCGAAAAACTGTTAGATACCATTCGTGACCTAAGATGACCTCAGGGCATAAACAGGGGTCACAGACACCATTTTCATGTTCAGTGTGTCTAAACCACTTGTAATTCAGTGTTTGGGAGTGTTTATAATGTCTTTCGTCCAAAACAGGCGCATTTCGATTTTCTCCCATTGACTTATAATGGTGAGGTCGCAAAATTGACCTGACCTTAGGTCATCGATATCAAAATTCTGAGATATACATTTTGTACATGCTAATGCTCTTAGCAATCGCTGAAAGTTTCAAAGCGATCGGTCACTCGGTGTAGCTATGACAGACATTGAAACTTTTTATGAGGTGAGGTCACTTCGAGTGACCTGGTGACCTGACCTTGAATGACCTTGGTCTGAAATTTTCACAACATGTGTAGAATTGATGTATGATAAGGTGTACCAAAAACGGCGGCGCTCCGCGCCGCCGTTTTTGAGATATTTGCGAAAAACCACAGGGGGGGTGTTCAAACACCCCCCCCCCCAGCAGGGCGCGGGTTAACACAGTGCTGAACTGACACCAACTGTAAAGTGCCTGAGACCGCCATTGCCCAGGCCATCTAGATGGCTTAGCTGGCGGCCGACAACCGCTCGTGTGAACAGCTATAATGTATATTTGGCTTCCGTACAAACAATACGAGGGGCACACCAGCCATGAACATTGTGAGACTCTTCACTTATGCATACGAATTTATACGAAGCGTTTAGCAATGCACAAGCGGTAAATAAACACCACGATACAACTTGAATGCACTTTGAATGTGAATACAAGACATTCAGCGCCCTCATATTGGATAAGGCACAGCGCACAATATTTGAAGAGAGCGACGGCGTTCCTGGGTGGTCGCCCGTCTGCGTGAGATAATGAGACTGGATCACTACAGTGCAAGGCTTTTTCAAAGTCACCAACAAAATGCATAAACTTGTAGCATCACAACAAAATTGATGTACGTACTCACAACCTAGGCCACGTGGCCGTGCACGGGGTCCTGTTAACCAGGTCAAATTAGCACCACTCAACGGCATGCAATGCTCTAGCACATCGGTACTTACAATAAAATGTCCACAGAGGCTCTATAGGCGATGAACAGCACACAAGCACAATCACCAACGGCCACGCCGCGCGGCACCGACACTGCTCACATCCGCTCTCGGAGACCAACGGCCGAAAACTGACAGATGCGCGCGGCCTTCAAACCGCAAACAGCCGATCTCGTTTCTGATTGGCTGAGTGATTCCATTTCAAATATCATCTTCACGAGGGTAAACAAGATCCACGCATGAAACGACTATCTGTACACGAGTCACGATACCCAGAAGGAAAGAGTTTTCGTGATGTTCTGGATCGCGAGAGTAATATTGATATTTGCATGGTAATAATACTCTTCGTTGGCGAATAAGTTCATATCAACCACGTACCGTTACTATGCACATAATGGTAGCAAAGAGTTACCCTTTCAATATACTCTTATCTTGCTGGTTTGATGAAAATGAACCCTCGAGGAGGTAGTAAAAAAGTTTTGAGTGCGGGGGAATCTGGACCCACGGGGAGGAAGCCCTGAAAGATTTCCTAGCGTATTTGAACTCACTTCATCCTACAGTAAAATTCACGATGGAGTTCACGAAGCAGGACTCGGGGCTCCCATACCTAGATACCCTGGTCTCTGTCGTTTCTGACAATGACATCACATTTCTGGCCACTGAACTGTACATTAAGCCTACCAACTCGGGCATAGTGCTTCATTTCTCTTCAGCTCATCCGTCCTCGACCAAAATTAGCATGGCTAGGAACCAGTTTAGAAGGGCCATAGCAGTATCGTCGAATAAGGACAGGGAAGAAAAGAGCGTGACAAAAATGTGGAATCTCCTTTCTAGCAACGGGTACCCTGAAAACGTGCTTAGGAGAACTCTAAGGGAAGCGAAAGCTGGGGGCACTAAACGGGGTTCTACAAAAGAGAATGTAGATGGCTTCTTGACTCTACCATATGTGGACGAGAAATTATTGAGCCGGGTGAAAGGTGTGGTGCGCAGGTCGGGAATGAACATCCGACTTGCTTGGCGAAACAAAAACAAACTGAAAAACGCGCTAGTCAGGTCAGCCTTCTCACCTCCTCTCTGTCCGGGTGCCAGTCGCGGGTGCTACTGCTGTAAGTGTGGTTTAGCAGGGAGATGCACGACCAAAAATGTGGTTTACAGGATCACGTGTACTCTCTGCAAGGAACAGCCGGCGGTGTATGTGGGAGAGAGCAAACGTCCTGTCAGACTGCGTTTTAACGAGCATGTGAGGAGCATGCTGAGTGCGACTCCCGACACCCCCCTCGGAGACCACTTTAGAGTGGCTCACGGTCAGCTGTCATTAGACAGAGGGGCGGATCTACCACTTACGGTGGAGATACTGCACCAGGCTCTGGACTACCCAGACAGAAAGATATCAGAGTCCATCACTATCAGAGATTCGGAGCCCTCCCTGAACGAACGTCTTGTGTCTTGGCCTATCATATCCCGCGCCCGGCTGGGGGTCCTGGATTTCCACGCCCTGCTGGGGGGGGGGTGTTTGAACACCCCCCCTTGTAACTCGGCTCCTGGGCCACGTAGCGATACGCGGAAGGCGGCGTTCGAAAGAGCGTCAAAAATAATGACGAAATCACTTCGGTCAATTTTTTGGTCAGGTCAAAGGTCAGGTCACCAGAGGTCATTGAAGGCAAAATGTCGCCGATTTCCAGGTCGAATGTCGAAAATTTCCAAGAAGCCAACGCATAACTCGAGAACCAATAGAGCTACAGCGCCGCGGAAAAGCGCATTCGATAGCCCTATTAAAGCCCTTTCTGAGTAATTCTCTCAGATTTGACCTAACGTCAACGGTTTTGCCTGCAGGGGGCAAAAATTGCAAAAATAGCCGATTTTTTCGGAAACAGTTTTTCTGCAATAACTTTTGACCCAAGCCTTGTACGAGCTTACTTTTACCGGCATTGTGTTCCTCTCGTCAAGACGCATCGAATGAACTATAAATTGACCTTGAAAGGTCAACTTGAAAATTTGACCTCAGGTCAAGGTCATGACCTGACCGGAAAGGGTCATGTTGCATATCAGTCGATCCGTATCGTCGAGCTGAACACATCTAAGGCGTTTTCATCGCTCTAGCATGCCTCTATCAAAAGTTATTTGCGAAAAACTGTTAGATACCATTCGTGACCTAAGATGACCTCAGGGCATAAACAAGGGTCATGGACACCATTTTCATGTTCAGTGTGTCTAAACCACTTGTAATTCGGTGTTTGGGAGTGTTTATAATGTCTTTTGTCCAAAAGCGGCGCATTTCAATTTTCTCCCATTGACTTATAATGGGGAGGTCGCAAAATTGACCTGACCTTAGGTCACCGATATCAAAATTCTGAGATATACATTTTGTACATGCTATTGCTCTTAGCAATCGCTGAAAGTTTCAAAGCAATCGGTCACTCGGCGTAGCTATGACAGACATTGAAACTTTTTATGAGGTGAGGTCACTTCAAGTGACCTGGTGACCTGACCTTGAATGACCTTGGTCTGAAATTTTCACAACATGTGTAGAATTGATGTGTGATAAGGTGTACCAAAAACGGCGGCGCTCCGCGCCGCCGTTTTTGAGATATTCGCGAAAAACCACAAGGGGGGGGGGTGTTCAAACACCCCCCCCCCAGCAGGGCGCGGGATATAAGTGTGTAAGATAGCGTATGCAGCGTGTGAATTCGAGTCATCGATCGTATCGAATATTCAAAAAGTGTTATGATGAGTTATATGTCCTGATTTTGTCTCGTTTTTTTATCGCTCGTTTTATGTATGTGTGTACGGTACATCGGAAACATCTTAGCATAACCAAGGATGTTCTTCCATTGAAGTCTTATGTAAACAAATACCGCGAGATGAATTTCGAAATATGAAAATAGGCTGCCGTTTGTCTGCTGTAACCGTTTTTGTCTTCTACATTGTTCTTTCTTTCGTTTGATAATGGTCTGTTGGCCGAAATATCACGTAAATAAAAAGGTGATTTTTCATTAATTTTGCTATAGATTCGAGGAAAAAGGTCAATGTTTTTCTTTCATATAATTGTTTCGAGGTCAAATTATAGCTCGTTCG